CTATTTTGTTTGCGCAGAGTCAGTTGAAAGAGGGACTTGTCTGGGACAGAGGGGCTCTGTACGGACTGGTGCTGGCAGCTCCCTCTGGCTTTCTCCTCCAGGCAGCCAATCTCTCAGGAAGTGAGGTTGGTTTCTTCCCAGCTCACCCAGCCTCTGCAGGACCAGCCAGCTTCCCGGCTCCGCCTGCCAGCAGCTGCAGATGATTTTGTTTGCGCAGAGTCAGTTGAAAGAGGGACTTGTCTGGGACAGAGGGGCTCTGTACGGACTGGTGCTGGCAGCTCCCTCTGGCTTTCTCCTCCAGGCAGCCAATCTCTCAGGAAGTGAGGTTGGTTTCTTCCCAGCTCACCCAGCCTCTGCAGGACCAGCCAGCTTCCCGGCTCCGCCTGCCAGCAGCTGCAGATGACAGATGTGAAGAGACAGTTATCTATGAGCCACTGTAGCTTGGAGAACTGAGGGGAGGACGGCTCTCCAACCAGCCCAAAAGCAGGCCTCTCACAGCCCCGTGACCCAGGATCCTTTTCTGCTCCTGGCTCAGCCAGATGAGGAGGGCTGGAGAGGTCCTGTCATTGTCCTTCCCTGGCCATCCTGCTCACACAGAGGAGAGCGTTTCGCAGGCACATCACTGGGTAAACATCATGAGTCAGATCAGCGAGCAGGTCCACCTCGGAGCTTGTGTGGAGGCGCCTGGGACCCAGCTGGAGCCAGGCCGTGGCCTTGGCAGAAACTGGCTGTCCTCACCCGGACCAACTACAAGGAAACAACAGCGATTTAGACTCAGAGAAATTCATTCCCAAGCCATATGCCTGACCAGCAGACTTGATATTCTCCTCCTCTTCTAAAACCTGGTAAGAATAGGTTTGTTCCCATCTGTGACTTGGAAGGTGGCTGATCCAGAGCAGCCCTGTGCTTCTGCACACGTCGTTTGAAGGCTCCAAGGGTTGGCCAGTTGGCCTGTCTCCTTACCTCTAAGACCAGAACCACAAACGGTTCCACTAGCAAAGAGACAGGTTCCCGCTGGGAAGGCCCTGTGACATCAGAGCTCACATATTAGGACAAAGGAAGGAAATTCCCCTGCAGAGCCAGCAAGGCCGGGTTTGGGAAATGGTACCCAAGCTAAGAGCAGCGTCTCACCTCTCCTAAAATAGAAATATTGAAATAAATTTGTCAGCAGTTAGATGGTGTGTGTGTGTGTGAATACAATCACGTGTTCCCCCCGGGCTCTCCATCTGCCCTGGCCAGGCCCTTTAGTGGGGACATTGTTGTCTCACTGGACTAAGTAAAGGATAAGCATTGCATTTTTCAGTGACCTTCTGACTCCTCGGGGGAGCAGACAAGAGGCCAGGTGACCCATGAGGTGACTACAAACTTGTCAGCAGTCGGGACCCTGGGTTAATCTCGTGAGTTCTTGGGAGTGGCACAGGCTGGGCATGATAGAACTTCGGGGTAGTGTGGCTGGGCCCA